CCAGTTGTTCTTCCGCCATCCCACGCACCGTTTGTGGTGGGTCAGTCTCCACCACGGTCCTCAAATCCTCGTTCTGGATAACTGTAGGTCGACCACTTCAGGCCTCATCTTTATCAACACTATAATTGTCAAATGTCGGGTTAATTTTTCGGGCTGTTTCGGCAGCGCTTTAGTTCAATTGGAATTCGTAGAGAAAAATTGTCCGAAAATCGCTAAACGACATCATAAACAAGCTGAAAAAGGACAAAAAATTAAAATTTGGAAAAAGTTCATTATTTCGGTTACTGTACATATTAAAAAAAAAAAACGAAATACGTCGAATGTAAATTATAATTTGACATTCTTCAACGCAAAAATGCCACCCCTACCTTCAACCCTCTTCGAATGACAGGTACAACCTCCAATTTATTAAATGAGAAGTATAGGTTTGTGATATATCGTTTGAAAGGTCTCTTCATTCTCTATTCAAAAATGATCAAATCAAAATATGCTTCATTGTCCAAGATAGTCATAGTCATATGAAGTCGATGTGAAATATACTTTAATATCGAAATTAATATCTTATAAATAGAGTATTAAAACTAAGACTAACTAACAATTACCAATCAGTAGGTATGATGGTATGTCAATAAAAATAAGTACGAACACATAAAACATATATATGTACATACAAACATATTATGCGTGAATTCCATACACAACATCCCCAAAAGTTAAACGTTTGGTGTGGTATTCTAGGTGACCACATTGTCGGACCTTTCTTCATCAACGGAAATTTAAATGGTGAATCATATCTTGAGTTACTCAGGGAAGGGGTTGACCCACGTATTACACATAAAAATATGAGAAGTAATAAAAAAAAAGGGATGATGCTAGGGGTAAGGGGGTGGCTTAACCAGTAAGTTTAAATAAGCCATAATGCTTGCCCCTTCAAACATAAATTGACGTGTTTTTGGATTTTTTATAAATACCAGTATTACAAAAGTTATTAAAGGTGGATACTTTTATCTGAAAAGCACTGTATACAGTAAATACAACTCGATATGTACATACATTTTAAGAATGATAAAAGCAAAGTTGATACAAGTTACGGTAAAAATTATAAGCGACAAATATTACAAATTCAAGGCTTTTCAGGACTAAGCCAGATTGTCAACATAATAATACTCCTGTATACTGTAGAATGCCTTTTTCACAAGTGCATTTTTAACGGTCTTTCGAAATAATGGATAGTCTGTAATATTTTTAAAGAGACTAGGTAAAATGGTTATATAACTTTTTATTTATTTTATCTTAATTGTTGCAATAAACTTGGAAACGATAACATTTTTGAATATAGACCTTTCAAACCATTATCACAAGCCTATACTTTCCATTCAAAAAACTGGGGGTTGTACCTGTCATTCGACGGGGGTTGAAGGTAGGGGTAGCATTTTATAATTCAAATTTGGTGGTGTTGAGTGTATTTTATAGAAACACAAAAACACACGACATTAAAACGGACAAAACGTTTGAAACAACTTGAGACATATCGGTTTTACTATAGGGTTATTGCAAGTGTTTATTTTTACCGTCTGAATCTGTATCTTATGTTTTATTATTTTTTGTTACATTTTTCGAATGTTTAGTTGTCCAATTTACTATGGAACGTTGTAATTGATGTAGGAAGTGGGAAAGTCTAACGGAGGCCGAAAACGCTCACGCAAGTCTTCTTCTGATTGGTGGAGATATGCACAGGCTGATGCTGAACAAATCAAACGTTCGGCCGCTGTCGAGTGTCTTTTATCTGCCTCCGATCAGGTATTTTTCACTTGTATATGTCTGATAAACCACGAAAATTGCAATTTGTTTCAAATTAATTTTCACCTTGAAATTATAGCGAAATTGAATATTTATCATGCTTACCTTCATCAGTGAAGAGAGTCGAATATACTCTTGAGAAATCAAGAAAATATATTATTTTCAAAATAGATGAAAACAAACTCGAAAAAAATCGATGGCTAATAATTTTCCATGCTTTTTTTTACAGTATCAACATGTTGTTTTTGGCTTCTTTTTTACAGTTTTATATTTTTGTAGTACCTAGGACAAGACACATTTCCATTTTTCTGTAGTTTTCATTATTTCTCCCTTTTATGTATTGACTGCATTTTTTCTAGTCGAATCTTTTACTTATGATGTACTGTTTGGAACCTTTGGTGTAGTAATGAACATTACTGGAGTTTTTCCCAACACCAAATCGTTATTTTTAACACCTCGACACGTTATTTTTAACACCTCGTGTTTCGATCACCGAGTGATCGTCTTCAAGAGGAAGATAAAACAGTTTTATCTTGAAGATGATCACTTGGTGATCGAAACACGTGTCGAGGTGTTAAAAATAACGATTTGGTGTTGGGAAAATTCGATGTGATTCCTAACACGGATATTACAGGACTTCGGACATGACAGCTATTTCATTCATTTTGTCAAAATTAATACAAAGAAATCAAACTTGAATTTTATCCAAATTAGATATAATCATAGTCATGCCACAAGACAAACCAAATTACTGTCAAAAAATTGAAATACAAACAAATTTTGGAAAAATGTCGATATATATATCTTTATGGGATCATTATATATGTATAATTGAATTCCAAAGAAAATAAAGAAGCACTATTCCAAAATTTAAATATCAATTGAAAAAAATCTGATTAGTGTGATTTCATAGTTTGCATTTATTTCTATTACCCTTGAATCCGTTTTTACTTTCTAAAACCCATTCCATGGTTTGTTTTTTCAAGATATATTATGTGTGTATTGTAAAATATCTTATTTCTGTTACTGTTACTTTCACTGTTACTTGGGACAATAAACTGAATTGAGGAAAAAGGTACTCTCACCTTCAAGATTTATTTTTTCTTTTCACTAGAAATTTCAGATGGAGGTAGAGATGAAAATACATTATTGTGTTGTAGAACAGATTGTTTTTATCGTGAAAATTCCATTGCAACAGATTTCGAAAGAATCTTCCACATCCAGAAATGGATCACAAAAGAAAAACAAACTTTTATCATTCGAATATTTTAAATGATTTCATTGGTTCTTGTGTGGATCAACTCATCACATATTACATTTAAGTGAAAAATAAATAACAAGGTGAATACAAATTATGATTGCAATTTTAGTGGATTTCAACATAATTGCTTCTTAGCGCATACTTCTGTTGCTTTTATAGTAAGCAAGCATTATTACTTAATACAATGTATTTGTTTTATGTCTGTTTGAAATGTCCATAGGAATACAAGTGCCATGGATATGGATTAAATTTGGTAGGTGATGTAGAGTCAGAGTCAGAAATGCTTTATTGTGTCATAAAAGTTTTGGTTTTGTTAACAAAGCAGGTTTGAGAACTAAAAGGATCTGAAATTCAACAGTGAAATAAAGGTCAAGAATTAAAAATTATTGTATGATGCATTGTAAGTTGCGAAGTCGTCAGAAAGAAATTCCTCACTATTATAGTAAGCTTTATCTAAGCAGAAGTTTTTTTCACTCCTTTCGAAACTGTGTGTAGCAGGTTGACACAATTGAAGAGGGGGATGATTGTTATAAAGACTGTTATAAAGAATTGAGTTTTTAATTAGTGCTCTGAATGTGTGACAGGTTTCATAACTTTGAGTTGAGTTTGAGATGACCTGCATACGATTATATTTGGAGACATCACAAATACCTGTCCATTTACTAAACTCAAAAAAAAATCAGTCAGAAGTGTTCCAAATTACCCTCCGAGTGGAAGATCTCTGATTTAAGCTGTAGACGTTTTCCAAATAAAAATATTTGATTACTGTATATTAATTTATGAAGGACTGACTAGGAAAAACATATTTTTAATGGCTTGTTTATCATTGTTATTTCATGAAAATATTCACAGCAATTTGATAAATTAGAAATACCATAAGTCAGATAATTTTATCACAAGGAAATTGTTCAAATACTATGACTCAGATGTTATCAACTGCTTTTGAGCTATCCGTCATTTTAATAGATGAATAGAATATTCATTTGTGAATAATGTATTTAGCTTTTAGTGAGAATGTAACCTTTTTAAAATTTTAAGAAGTGTTTTTACACTTTTCTTTACTCGTTTCAATTCAGTGGTTTACGGTTTGGTGGTTGTGGTATACTAATAACTATTAATTTTTCTGGTGTGATGTGATTTTTCATATCTTGAATTTTGCCTTCATTGTCTAGAAAAATATTGCTTCATTACCCACTTTTAGTGTTTTTGAAATCATAATTAAACATATTTGTTTATAATATAAAGTTGTTCCTTAATTATTTAAAGTGTTGCTATCCAATTTTATGATTGTTATTCCATTATTTTGAAAGTTTGTTCTTTCACAAAATAAAATTCTGTTTACTAAAGATATAGGATAAGAATTTTGGATAAGAATTTTACTGAAATTAGACAAACTTTTGTTTCGTAAATCGGGATGATTCTGTTTTTTAATGAACAAACTTTCAAAATAATGAAGAAGTTGAACACAACAACGTTATATCTTCATTCATATATAAATCGCTCCCATATATTCAAGAATTGACACCAAAATTAATTAATGTATTCCGAAATAATAACCTCAAAATATCTAAAACAAATGTCACTTCTATATCTAAATTATACAGTAAAGTAAAAGCTCCAATTTCAAATAAACAAAAATCCAATTTAGTATACAAAATTTCTTGTATGGATTGTTCTAAAACATATATAGGACAAACATCTAGACCTCTAAGTAGTCGCATCACNAATTTTGTTGTAAGTTACATTCGTTTAATAATCACCCGCCAACTTTTTTTTCCCTAAAGCGATCTAAAAAAAATTATTGCCATTTTTAAAAATATCCCTAGACTTTTCCGATGTGTGTATATACATACATATATACATACATACTCTCTAGAAATTGTATTCTATACTATAAACCGTTGTGTCTTCCTTTTATTATCCACATAATTTTGTTTAGAACTGCGAAATAGAGTCTCTTGTCGACGAGCTTTGCGAGAAACTGAAAGAAGTAGAGAGCCAGTCCGCCTCTCCGATTCCAGAACTAGCTGCTGAATTGCAATCGGAAGTGAGAAAACTCACTCCGCAAGAGTTGGCCGAAAAGTATTACGCTGCCTTTCCCCCTCTCTGCCACAGCAATCCCGGAGATTCGAAGGCAGTCTCGCCAATCAAGTCTGCCGCTTCGCCCACCAAGAAGAGGTCTGCTAGAAAAATTGGAAACCGATCCATAGGCTACGAGAATAAGCTACACGCGAAGGTACTTTTCAATTATTCACATATTTTGTAGATGAATAGAAAAACAATCATTTTTCGCCGAAAATCATGCATTATATGCAGACATTGATGTCTGCATACAATGCATGATTACCGTCTCAAAGTTACAGTTTCCAAGAATTTTTAGACGCTCTCTAAAACTGAACATTAAATTCTATATATTGGAATGTATGTTTTCATGAAATGTTTTTAATGTGTTTGTGTAAGTTTGTATATGTGTATATTTGTTCATATGCAAATGTTTGTTTTATTTCATTTTATGAAGTGACTTATAGTTTAAACATGAAATTTTTTAAAATTTCAAGGCTATTTGCCGGTTTTGTTGGCCATGGTCTCCAGGTTTTTTCATACCTGAAGCTTCGTCTTCTACTGCGGTAGACATTATCGAAGGCGATAAGGCAACAGACAGTGATCGGATTGTCCTCACGGCAGATACTACATTTAAGGTTTAAGTTCCTGCTTTTGTGACCAGATGGACTTTGCTTCGTTTCTATTAGTCGAATTGAGTGACCTCATTTGATGAGTGTCATTTAGTACAGGTAGCCAGATTTTATTGATGTTAATTCTCTCTTCTTTTCAATTGAAATTGTTTTTGTTTTCAATTTCTATTACTTTCTTATGTAGTCTTGAGTAGTAACTCTTGAGTTCTATCAAGAACTTGGGTCTCTTCAAATGCGATAGCGTGGATACCTTATCTTAGCGTATGTTCCGCTACTGCTGGTTCGTCGGTATACCTCATCATTATACTATTTTACATGTTATGTGAAAACATGTAAAGTATGTTAGATGGATGAATATATAAACAAAACTTCACAGAGTATCGAACTTGTAATAATAATAATAAAATTATTTATATTATATTGCACGTTGTACAATGTTGCAAGTTCAGGCCAGTTTCAATTCACTTACACTGTAGGTTTAAGGACTTACGCTGTAGGTTTAAGGACTGACACGTGTAAGAAAACAATTACTTCCCTGGCTAATGCCACGAAAGGCGTTGGATTATATCCGACAGGTGTCGGTGTAGGATTCTTCACAGAAGCAATTCCTGCATATGCTCTTGGAGATACAACTGCCGGAATCAATTTTCAATTAATGAATTCATATACGCTTCTTTAGATAGTGGTAAGCATGTTGCAGAAGTATTCTTCGATCTGTCACGTGCGTTCGATTGTTTAAATTTTAAATTCATCGAGAGAAAATTATATAATCTAGGATTTAGAGGGGACTTCCTAGAATGGATCATTGACTTTCTTACAGATCGTAGGATGTTCGTCAAGATTAAAGATATGAAATCAGACTATCACGATATATGTTCTGGAGTTCCTCAAGGCTCTGTGTTAGGTCCGCTGATCTTTCTATTGTTTGTAAATGATCTGCCTACTTATTTCACCAGTAATGAACATGCTCTCACTCTTTTCGCAGATGACACGTCTTTAGCTGTATCAGCAGAGAGTCAGGAGGAATTAAAATCAAAAACAGAGNAAAATCTGTTTTTCCGTTAACCAGCTGTCGCACCCCTACGAACGACAACCCTCAGAAGTCGAAACTTGTGCGAGCTAAGGTTAACGAGGTCTTACCTTTTAACGTGTGATTCCTAACATTTGTTCTTTTAGATGATTTGACTTACAGCCAGTCTTCAAGTATGCTCTCTTACTCCAGACGTGTACAGAGACCTGCTAGTTCTGTTGACATATAATTTGAAATTTTGGAGAAACCCCCATTGTCATCATCTGCAAAGAAATGTGAATAATGATGGTAATGAACAATTTTTCTTTTTTCCATTGCAGGAGAATTATGAAATAAAAGCTCGCAACCAAAAAAAAGAACGTCTTAATTGCTTTGGGCGCAACAAGGGTACCTCCTCACGTAACATTACCGCTTTCACCAACTGGGACATGGCCAATTTCAACCGTAGAGTCGGAGCTCCGAAAACTAAAAGCTTCCCCGACATGGATCAATGCTTGGAAGATAACCAAGATATTTGGGAGAACCAATCGGAAGTTAACATGTACAATGATCTGGAAGGGACTCTCAAAGGTTTGTTGGACTCGCCAACTCCTACAGATGAAAACGTTATGATGGCAAATTTGGCGAGTATGATGGATTTCGGGAAACGAATCTACGTACCATACAGTACAGACATCAATAAGTAAGTCGATCTATTTATCTGTTGAAAAAAGCGGTGAATGCAATAAGCGCCATCTATGTGTTAGGCCCGTGAATTTTAAGCCTATGTAATACATCTATATGTGCTATAGTTAGTAACAATTAACAAATTTATTTATTTATATACACGGGCAAGTCCAATTCAGATATAAGTAGTACAGTGCTATGTAATACAGTGGATTAAAAGTAAATTATAAGAATAATACAATTCCGAAGTAAGATAACAAGTAGATTATTAAGGAAAAATCAAAATGTATAACAATATGAACTAATATAATTCTTACAGGACAGTAACACTAGACACAATACAACAACACAAGCAGAGAGTATTAGATGACTGAGTGAAGAATATGGTTTTTAGAGCGGGAAACTGATATATTAAAGATTTGAAGGTTATTTAAAGAAGTTAGCCAATCAAAGAGTTCTGGGAATAAAGCTGTTATATGAAAAATTGAATCTGTGAAAATAAACGTAAAACGTTTGCACCAGTCTAGTTGAACGACTGGGGACATGTAAAGATATTTTGGAGAGAAGCTCGGGGCTGATACTCAGTCCGTTGATAATTTTCAATAAAAGTATTAAATCTCTATGTTTTCTGTGAGCCTCAAGAGAAGGTATGTTTAAAATGCATTTCAATGCAGTATAGACATTGTACACACGTATCTTGGAGGCAATATATCGCAGGAAATTGTGCTGTACGGCCTCAAGTTTCACTTTGTTTAACCTAATGAGGGGACCAAACTGTGGAACAATAATCGAGACGAGATCTAACCAGGGAAAAATAAAGGGATTTAGTAGCAGTGATGTTGGTGAAATCACGAGTGGTCCTCTTTATAAAGCCAAGCATCTTCATAGATTTTTGAATTACAGCGGAATTGTGTGATTTATAGTCAAGTGTGGAGTCAAGAATCACACCTAGATCTTTGGTTTCACTAGCAGAATGTAAGGTCCAATTATTTATACTATATTCGAAAGTGATTGGGTGATGTGTTCGACGAAAGCGAAGAATTTGGCATTTGGATGCATTCAAACACATACCAGTTAGATAGGCAATCTTTATCGTTTTCTAGACACAATGTATCAGTTTCACTTTTAATTAATTTAAATCGTCGGCAAATAGCAAAGCTTCGCTTTCATGGAAACAGCTGATTAGATCGTTGATAAAAAGGTTCAACGACAGTGGTCCCAAATGTGAACCTTGTGGTACACCCGACGTAACTGCGATGGTATTAGAATAATAATGATTATAACAATAACAATTTGTGTTCTTTCCGTAAGCTAGCTCTTGAGCCACAAAAAGGAGATTTGTCTACTTAGAACCAAAATCTATAAACCATAGAGTTTACTTGACATTACAATACACAGTACAATAAACATTCATTGAGATATGTAGCTACACACATGACCTTAAAACGACAAAACATTTTAAACAAACTAATATTTTCACATTTGACAATTTATTTTTGCACATATTTATATATTTTTAAACATACTTCGAGCTTGAATTTCTCCTCATATAAACAGCTAGTATTTCTTGGGAAAGTTGAAATAAAAATAAAGTTAATCATTCAGAAAAAATGTTGGTTGGATAACAGGATCAATTTTTTCTTTAAAAAACAATTGTTTTCTTGCCGACGTTTCGAATTTGATTAAGTTCTTCTTCAGGGCTCTGTAACAATGAATTTTCATAAACATACCTTCCACAAAACTTATACGATCAATTTCATAAGAAATAATGAGTTCTTAATTAAATTACTCACCGAAAATCATATTACTATTTTAATAACCATCAGACATATTAGATATATATTTAAAAAAATAAATTAAAAAACATTACAAACAACCAAAATTTTTGAGATAACACCAACACAAAACAACATGAAACAAAACGAATAGATTT